ACTTTGGATGATCTCGTTCACCAACAAAAACACCACCACACAAGGATCGATCAAAATGACTCCTGTGGTAGCAAGTCATAAGGAATATGAAAAAAAAGGTGTACTCTAACTTGTATGCTGACTTGCCTCCCATACAGCAGGGTCGATTCCGCGTGTTTACCAATTCCCACGATTTCAACGATGAGGAGATACAGGGTTCCCAAACTTCAGAAGACCTCGTATCGCATCGATAAGGTATTGCGAAGGCGAAATCGGAGTGATGTAAATGATCTCTTTGAGAAATGAAGAGGTAATCTGAGTCAATTAATTCTTGGATCAAACAATTAGACATGGAGTAACAACCTCTCAGGAAGCTTTATATTCTTGACGATTCGCCAAGACTGTAAAGGTTATGAGAATGTGAAGGTTACTAGTAACCAATGGGTTTAATGGTCTGATTATGATGCAACGTATGGACCTTAATTTTTAGGGCTTCGATATCTACTCTACTTAATTTTAACACATCTCTCTCCGTCAATCTATCGAATTTCTCTGTCTTGTTCTTCCTATTTCTTTGCATACCAACCATTCGTCAACGGGTCCTCTGCCATCTTATTTTCGTGAAGTTCACGAATCAAATGGTTCTGCATATTTAAGTTTGTGTTGGTGTTTCCCCGTTGGTAGAAACACATTCACACTTGCCCACCTTGCCTTATTTTTTTTCTTATTTTCTTTGATTGCTGCATCATATACTAACTGCATCCATTTTATATCCGTTTTAATCTGGTCGCACTAGGTTTCATACGTGCTGTCTTTTACGTTTTGAATGACTCACCGTTTCATTATAGCATCCGAACTGGCCCTCGGAGCTTTCAGAATGATGATACGGTTGTCGTTCATGTTCCAGTCTTCGCAGAAACTACTCATGATCATCCCTCCCTATCCATAGAATCAAATTAATTTACCATGTTTTATTTATTTATAGCATCAACGAGAACACCACTTCGTAAAACAATTGACATTCCGACAAATTTCAGCAAAGGTGCCAACAGATCATCTTTCCTCTTATCTGTATTTCATTTGTGTTGTATCGGATCGCGCATCGTAGGTACTCAATCATCTCCTTAAGTAGGTTTAAATATAAAGATAAGAAGATGTGGTTTGATTACTAATGAGACAACTCTCCACGAGAGACCAAAATGACACAGACATTAACAACTATATGCCACCGTTTGGTCTTACGTCCATAAGAATCAAAGTAAATCTTTGTCGGGTTGTCCTTAAACCAAAACGTCCAATATGTCTCTTGATCCGTTCGTGATTCGTTGGGTAAGTCGAATACTTCTAAGCGTTCACTCCTCGCTCGAGTTCCAACGTTGACGAGGGTGTGTTGGGGGAAAATATTATGCAACTGTGTATAATTATCCATATCATCGGCTGAAATGGCTTTTTTGCGACATTCGAATGAATAATCGCTTAATAGGCCGTATCATGTCATGGTCTACAACTGTCTTTTTTATAAATAGTTATCAAAGGTACCAGGATTATAATTTAATACGCCAGACGCGCGTTTCGTCTACAAAAGACTCATCAGTGACGCTCAGATCAAAATAGTTATAAAGCCAAACAAGTACAAAGTTGAAGAGCATTGAGGACCCAAAATTCCCAAAAAGTTGTACCAAATACAGCTAAGGTAATCTATTCCTGGGATAAGAAAATCCTTAGTTTTCCGAAAAAATCAAAGTTTTGTAACAGGAAATTTATAAAAATGACCATATAATTGATATTCATGTCAACACCGAAGTGCTGACTACTGGGCTGGTGATACCCTCGGGGACGAAACGGCAGCGGCATCGACCCAGTGGTGTAAATAGTTATCAAAGGTACCAGGATTATAATTTAATACGCCAGACGCGTAATAAACCTTTTTATGATCTATCATATGATGCTGGTCTGTACGTAATTTTACTATAGCTTTTTATCTCCCTTTTTAAACAACGCAGTAATCTTGCCAATTTTGTTACATACTGGTACAAAACCTCTGATGAAAATAATACAAAGTAGAGTGTCAATTAAGTCTGTAAGTGTATATAGAACTTTAGGTTGTACCTGGTCAGCACCTGGTGAGTTGTCTTAACGTATTCAAGTATTTCAATAATTTGCTAATTTTCCTTTTGTTTGAAAGATTCGTTGCTAGAAGGTTCTTTGCACTAAATTCTTACAAAAAAATTACATCTTTATCAATTTTTTTCGAAATACCCTTAGAAAAAAAACAACCTGTATTCAGCCTTCTCTTTTTCAGTACTTACAAAACACGTTTTAACATCTCTTTTATCATATAATTCGAATGGGGGATTTTGGATTTTCATTTCGATTTTTCATATGACCAGAAATTCTTACAATTAGTCTTTGGTAACTCTAATATGTCTTTTTCACGGTTTTTACGTTCTAGTGTGACATTTGAGTTGGCTATATCCATAGCTAAAGTTTATTTCCTTTAGATATAATTAAACATAGGACCACTCGAAACTTTGCGCAAACGATGCGCCTGTTTCTCCTCTACAAGACCTATATAGCCATACCCCGTGACATCCCTCATTATTTTTCTCTAGAAGCAAAGGAATAGGCCACCCCCCCCCCCCCCCCCCCCCCCCCCCTCGGGTTTTTTTCCAATTTTTTCAAATTTCTAGCCCTAGTTTTAGATTTTTGAACATAGCGCCACTCGAAACCTTGCGCAAACGATGCGCCTGTTTCTTCTCTACAAGACCTATATAGCCATACCCCGTGACACCCCTCATTATTTTTCTCTAGAAGCCATAGAATAGGCCAACCCCCCGGTTTTTTTTCTAAATTTTTCAAATTTCTAGCCCTAGTTTCAGATTTTTGAACATAGCGCCACTCGAAACCTTGCGCAAACGATGCGCCTGTTTCTCTTCTACAAGACCTATATAGCCATACCCCGTGACACCCCTCATTATTTTTCTCTAGAAGCCATGGAATAGGCCAACCCCATGGTTTTTTTTCTAAATTTTTCAAATTTCTAGCCCTATTTTCAGATTTTTGAACATAGCGCCACTCGAAACCTTGCGCAAACGATGCGCCTGTTTCTTCTATACAAGACCTATATAGCCATACCCCGTGACACCCCTCATTATTTTTCTCTAGAAGCCATGGAATAGGCCAACCCCCCCCCCCCCCCGGTTTTTTTTTCCATTTTTTTCAAATTTCGAGCACTAGTTTCAGATTTTGATGCGCCTGTTTCTCCTCTATAAGACCTATATAGCCAATAAATCAAGGGAAAGTAAATTTTGGCTCAAATGGTCTCTATATTTTTTTTATTACCAAAAGTTTTATTTCTGCAAATTTGTTTGTTAGTTCAATTAAACAAAGACAACAAAGGTGCTAATTTTTTTTCAGGGAAGAACTACTTTTACATACGTTCTAAATTGAAATGGGTGCATTGGTGGTCTTACACCTACAACCAATCCGTTGACATGTGCAGATTTACTGTGGTACTGAATGTTACCCTGAAAAAGGGGTGTGGCTTATTTTATAAACAGATGTGGTAAATCCTATTTCATGATAGAGATGTTAATTTCTGCCTTTTAAATATTTTTTTAACGGCCGTTGCTGTCTTTTGCAATTTTTCGGTTTTTAAATGTATCGCCTTATTGTTCGCTAGGTTTTGTTCGCTAGCTTCAGCCTGGTGGAGAGGAACTTGGTTCACCTGCTGGGTGAAACAAAGAATTACAATTGGTATTTGCTGCTTCTCTGTGACATATAGAAGAAAGGGTAACATGTTGGCTAGGAGTCAGAATAATGTGTTTAGGTAGGATGATATGTCTTTCTGCATATATGGTTACCTTGTGAACTAGCCAATTAAACATCGATGGTTTAGCCCCAGCAGGCACAGGAACGTTGATTCAACATTGAATAAACGTCAGATTTCAACGTTGAATCAATGTTGAAAAGTAGTGTTGGATTGAAAATTGATATGACGTTGAAAACATAACGTTGATTCAACGTCAGCTTCCAACGTTGCAAATAGGTTGAATTTTGGTCTTAATTTGGTCAATGCAAGTTGAAAACAAGTCGAATGATGATTGAACTGTGGTTAGTGTATGTTGACATTAGGTCGAATGCTGGTTGAACTGTGGGCAGTAAATGTTGAAATCAGGTCGAATGCTGGTTGAACTGTTGTCAGTGTATGTTGAAATTAGGTCGAATGCTGGTTGACCTATGGTCAGCCTATGCTGAAAACATGTCGAATGTTGGTTGAACTGTGGTCAGTGCATGTTGAAATCAGGTCGAATTCTGGTTGTTCTGTGGTCAGTGTATGCTGAAAACCTGTTGAATGTTGGTTGAACTGTGGTCAGTGTATGTTGAAAAAAGGTAGGATTTGGGCCCAGGTAGAATGTTTTAGGATTACTAGTAACGTTAATGCAAGTTGAATCTCGAAATGTGGTCAATGTTGAGAAGATGATTTTGAAAATTGGTTAAATTGTGGGTTGTCAACAGCTGAAATCATTACCACTTATTATATCCATCAGTGCCATTTTATGTGTAATAAAACTTTCACAAAACTATATGTACTAAGTCGTAGTAGTCATGTGTCGGTGGTTGATGTACATGTAGTCTGTTGCAGAGTTCATTATTTAGGAGATTTCTGCCTGTTCCAATATTTCCCTTTTTGTATTTCGCTAAATTTTGTGATTAAGTGGAAAATAAGTCATTCCCTTTGTTTTGGTAATTATTATACTTGTAATGAGACCACTCACTTCTGAATCTGATGTTTATGATAAAGACTTGACAAGAAGAACAGGCATAACTTATTAACCTTACCAGGCATAGATAATCTTAAACTTTATTGTAGTGTCAGTTGGCATACATTTTTGTACTTTCATTTTTCATAAAAGACAGGATCATGTTTGTTCATACACAAAATATGTTTGTGACATAAAACAGTAATTATATAACATGTTGCTCACATATGCATCTTACAATTTCAAACAAACACAAACTGAATACTTAATTTTATTTAAAATGTTAGTCCTTTTGCTAGACACATTCCCGATATTTCAGGGCGTATTTTAGGTATATTGCACACTAGTTCCATATTGTTGTCCATGTTGCACATTTTTGACTTGTAGCTATAGCATCTGCAACAGAAAAAAAAACATATTATACTAACTTTATCATAACTAGGTTAATATTATTTTGCAGCTCAAATAAAGAACACTTCTGTAATATGTGAACAAATAATCTCTGTGCGATGATATTGTTATTTTTAAAAATATTTATTGAGAGCAACCATGTGCTTTTTTTAAACTTGAGTTCAGATATTATAAAAAAATAATTTTTAATACAAAAACCTATAGATTCCAGTAGACAATGATGCTAGAGCACATTTAAAAGAAATTGTGACAAAATCTCACACAATTTTTAATGTGGAAAACAATGATATATATTTCAATACTCACCTCTTATTATTTCAAAAAAGCTTGAACCACCAAAGGCATGTTTATTCTTTTTACCCGTCATGGGTTTATTGGTGAAGACATCTACAAAAAAGACACTTTTAAGTGCAGCATTTCAAAATTGTCACAACTCCTTCTATAACTTGAAATAGAAAAATAAAGTTTCATATGTGTGAAACGCTTACAAAATATGGACTTCCAAAACCTTTCACAATTTGGTTTAAAATCTTTAAGTTCAATTATTTTTATTGTAGCATTAAGGGAAATTTGTCCTGCAGATTCCAACAAGATTCTGGAATCAGTGGGGGATCTGAAAATTTTTATAAGGGGTCCACTGAGTGCATAAGAGTGGTCACACTCTAGTCATGCTTCAGTGATTTCTTATACAGTCAACCAATTTTTCCCTCAAAAGGTTCGCCTCTGGGACCAAGGGCTTTAGAATTAATTTTAATCCTAAATCATAGTTTGAAAATCTCACAATAAGCTAATGGCATTTCAATTTATTTTATCTTGACAGTCACTCATCTTGAAAAACAATAATGCACCACAAGCACCAAGATCTTGACAGTCACTCATCTTAAGAAATAATAATACACCACAAGCACCGAGATCTTGACAGTCACTCATCTTGAGAAACAATAATGCACCACAAGCACCGAGATCTTGACAGTCACTCATCTTAAGATACAATATTGCACCGCAAGCACCGAGATCTTGTCAGTCACTCATCTTGAGATACAATATTGCACCGCAAGCACCGAGATCTTGACAGTCACTCATCTTGAGATACAATAATGCCCCAAAAGCACCGAGATCTTGGCTTTCACTCATCTTAAGATACAATAATGCCCCACAAGCACCGAGATCTTGACAATCACTCATCTTGAGACACAATAAGGCCTCACAAGCACCAAGATCTTGACAGTTTCTCATCTTGAGATACAATAATGCCCCACAAGCACCGAGATCTTTACAGCAACTCATATTGTTCAGTGGCGGATCCCGAAATTTTCATAAGGGTCGGCCCACTAACTGCCCTAAGAGGGGGCCCGCTCCAGTCATGCTTCAGTGATTCCCTTTATAATCAACCAAATTTTTCCCAGAAAAGGAGGGACCCGCCTATGTTGTTAGTATAAAACCAATAAAACAACGTTGCGTTTCGGCAGATAAAGCTTTGGGTGGTCACCTTAAGATGCTTTAGCTGTATTTGGCAAAACTTATAGGAAGTTTTGGTCCTGAATGCTCTTCAACTTCGTACTTTATTTGACCTTTTTAACATTTTTTGATTCGAGCGTAACTGATGAATCTTTTGTAGACGAAAAGCGCGTCTGGCTCAAATATAAAATTTCAATCCTGGTATCTATGATGAGTTTATTTACTTTCATCATAGATATAAGGCTATTATATCTATGCTTTCATATAATTCAAAATGAATATTATTCATGTATAATAAATCCATGATATACTTCATTATATATTTAAATATTTCATCAATTAATATTTTAAGCATGTTTGCTATACTCAAGCAGAAGTTCAACTTTGAACCTTTGTTTACATTCTTCTTCAAACTGCAATAAATTCAAATCTTTCCGACGTGATACGTTTTCTTTAAATTTTACGTATACATGCATATGGGTTATGTTTAGATATTAAAACTAAAGGAATATTGTCTATTTCCTTGGATTTTTTGGGCTGTTTAATAATTCAGTACGGTCAATTGAACAAGCATCTATTTCGACCTTATCTTAACTCAGTATCAAATTATAAACCACTTTGAAATTGGTCAGATTGTGTATTAATTTGTTATGGTCAAACGTGTTTCTTATCCGCCGTATTGCTTCACATGACTAGTTAATCTCCGGAATACATGCTGTGAGTGACATCTATTCTGATGCAGAGAAAATAATTTGTTTGTTTTAAATGTATTTCAAGGTCAAGAATGCCATGCGTTGTAAATCTTTGACTTTTAATTACATCAACATATAAAATATTGAGTTTGAGATTACATAGGTGAACTTCAAAAATGGGTTATAATTATTTGCCATACTTGCGGGGACAGCGAATAATTACAGCTACAATACTGTTTACATTAAATTATCATATAACTATTATCATGATTATTAAAGCAAACAAAAAAATGAATGAAAATTATACTTACTTTGCACTGCTTCGAGCAACTGTTAACTTGGTGTGGTAATCATATTGGCGCAAATAAATTCGAAAAGTCGGCCTCATACGCATGCGCAAATTAGAAAAAGAAATCTCTTTCGCGTAAGTTAATTCGTTCGCTCTTATCGTGTAAATTTGAAGATTTATATACACATGCAACAGTAATCATTGAATTTATTCAAAAACATCAGTAAACCAATATAAATAAAATGTGATTATTTAAACAGGAAGGATTTTATTTGTCTTTGTCAAAACAACGTTGGAGAGGATATTTCAGGAATAGCCCACGGAAGATCTATGGCCTGACTTGGGGTTTTTATAGTAATAAAAAAAAAATCAACAAAAAGAGAAATCAGTAATGAAAATCAAGATGTAAAACAATATCATGTTCTAGTGAATTCCAAATTATTAACATTTATTTCTAATGATTTTTGCAAAGTTGTATATATATAGAATGATTCAATCTCATCTGGAATGAAATTTCGGTCAGCACTTAAAGTCATCAACCTTAAATTATAAACCTTTTATCAACGTTATAATTTCAACCTATCAAAACATTCAAAGCATTAACTTAAATTCAATGTTGATTCAACGTTGACAGTTCAACGTTGATATTTTTAACCACAAATCAACGTTGATTCAACAACGTGATTTAAACGTTGATAGGATTGACGTTGATACAACGTTGATTTTACGTTGATCAACGCTACAACCAAATTTCAACATATTTTCAACGTTGATGCAACGTTGTATGCCTGCTGGAGCGTGTCTGTCTTGTCAAAGTTCATATTCACACCACAATAACATAGTCCTGTCATATATGCATGTTATATATTTTTCGAATATGTTACATTTGCAACTGAGCGTAAAACACCAATCAATAATGATCCTTCATTTCTTAAAACAAAATATTTACGAAACATTTACCCACCTTCCTTCCTTTTACAATCTATGCAGATTGATATACATGTATATACATATTTTATCAATCATGGGTCAACGTATCACATATCTGAAAACTGATACGTATTAGCATGGTAATTTATTTATTTATACAAATTAAGATATTTATATTTTTCCTCACTACGTTAAACATAAGAAACAGAACAATTTTTAGAGAAGATATACATGGTCAAGTTGTTGTAATAGAGCTTTCTTACAATTTGACGAAAGGTACGTACGCTTGACGAATCATACGTAAGACTCGTTTTATGGATCCTTTATTTTGACATATTTATGTTATCCTTATCGAAGCGTCATAGAACTTCGATGGCGTTTCACCTTAAGTTAATGGTTGCCTATTATAAGGACCATTGCACTGCATGCAATTACACGTGTTAAACTTATTTTTTCGTGAGATATAGGAATTTCGGGACGTACGAAAGGTGAAAATATAATACCAACAGGGGGAAGGAGATAACTCTACAAAATTTCCTAAATATAGGCTCGTCAGAAGAAAAAAAAAACCTAAAAATAAAAGATTGTGCTCAAACCCCACCCCCAAAAATAAATTACAACTTTTCTTTTTTTTAACCTAAGAAATTACCAAGGCAAATACATTGGTTTCCCCCTCACACAAAAAGTGAGATAAAATAAAAAACAAATACTTCCTAAATTCAAAAAGGGGCAACCCAAAAAATTATAAAAAGAAAAAAAAATGACCTCCAAATATAAATAAGAAGATGTGGTATGAGTGCCAATGAGACAACTATCCATCCAAGTCACAATGTGTAATATAAAGTAAACAATTATAGGTCAAAGTACGGCCTTCAACACGGAGCCTTGGCTCACACCGAACAGCAAGCTATAATGGCCCCAAAAAAGACTAGTGTAAAACAATTCAAACAGGAAATCCAACGGTCTAATCTATATAAAAAACGAGAAACGAGAAACGAGAAACACTTATGAACCACACCAAGAAACGACAACCACTGAACAACAGGCTCCTGACTTAGGACAGGTGCATAAAAATGCAGCGGGTTTAAACGTTTTCTAAAAACATATAATGCCGGGGCTCGTTTAATAGTTTGCAGTGATTCCCCGCCTCTCCCTGGGAACTACCCATTGTCGCCTTGTGATGTGTCCATACACCCAAGTTATGCTCACCTATGGAACCGTTCTTTCAGCGTATAATTGCGTTTTCGTCCTGAACATTCATGAAATATTTGCCACTGGACGTTAAGCGACCAATAATCATATATAATTAGTTGATCTATAATTAGAGATCAAGGGTGGATGTAGGAGTGAGGCGCACCCGAGTGCCTCTACTCAGCAGACACATTCCTACCTTCTTGTTCTAAATCTTCGCCTTGGTCTATTATATACAGCTAAGTCATTGACAGAGACGGTTTAATTTTCCAAAACACCCAAGTTTTCCGTTTTTTCTTTGAGTGATACTTGTTTTTTTTTCTTCTTTTTTTACCATTTTATGCTTGTACAGTGTGAACTATGTAGCGTTCATTAGACATTTGCGGAAACTGTCATACACCTACGATTAGGATTACATTTACACTTACAGGTAGCATTTAAATCATGGGTCGTCTCAAAGTGTAAATATAAAACGTCGTTCCAAAACAAAGTCTAACTCCTATGCAGTTTTTCTATAGTTGAACAACGGGGTTTTAAAAAGAAATTATGTAGTAATGTGTATACATTAATTATTACGCATGGTATTTTCAAGGTTGGAAATGATGCAAATGCACGGCCGTGAATATTATAGAATGGTTAACACCATTTCATAAATTTTACACGAGATGTATAAAAAAAAATCGCAAATGTCGTTGGCTAGGTTGGGACATTTGGAAATTCGTTTCAGAAAAACTGTGTTAAGAAACGGCGATCAACTAAGAAGCACATTTAAAATGATTAATGTTTATAATTGAAAAACAAA